TACTCTGTATAAATCTCAAAATGATACAATTTCATGGTTATGGTGAAGATGAGAATTCATCAAATCAGCAAAAACACGGCCTATAACACAACTACAATCAATTTCACCTAGTAAATGACTAATACCTGTGGGCTGTGGCAATATAGAATTATAGATAGCTCTTATCCTAAAGCTACTTCTTCACTTTACGAGCAAGGAAACGCTCTCGAGCTGCTTGGATTTTACTATCCCGATCAGCAGGAGACTCGACTTCCTTCACTTCCTTCTTTGACACACCTTGATCATTCTCTTTAATGCCATCCTCGGGATCAGTGAAGCCCCCACTGAGTTTGTTGATATCAAGAGTCTCAAGCTTCTTTAAGATGGGGGAGATCCATTGCATTTCTACAGTACACACATTCCGCATAAATGGACTAGATGTTGTAATCAACTCCTGGTACACAACATAATTCGGAAGCATTCCATCCTCATCGGGTTGCAACACAGATGATGGATGTAACTGAACAAGCTGAGACTTCAACCCAAGTGTTCGATACCCATTATGGCGAATCATTCTTTCAGCAAGCTGATTAGCATAACCAACACATAATGCCCTCCTCAAGTTTCTGTAATTCATTTTTCTCTCTCTAGACTGGTGTTTCCCTTGAACTTCTGTAGCACATTTGGCCATCTTCTGCATTAACTGACACAGCTGCCCACGAACATCTTTGACAAATGACATCCCTCGTATCTGCAATCCATACTCTTTACACCATTCAATATCATAGCCTGTTTCATTCCACAACTCAAAAATATGCAGCAGTTGTATATGATCACCCAAACCTCCTCCATCAGGAAGCTTCAAGGGAGTGTGCTTCCGTTTCTTTTCAGACCCTTTAGCAAAACTAGGAAGCAAAGAAGTTTCAGCCGATAACATGGCAGCAATTGTCAAAGCCTGTGACAGACTTCCATTCTCATTGGCTGCTATTAGAGTCCTAGACAAAGAAGGCTCCAACGGAAGCTCAGCCATGGTTCTTCCAACACTAGTTATCGCTCCATTCTCATCTATTGCATCAATGAGATACAACTGCCTAAGTGCATCACCTAAAGTAGCATAAGAAGGCGGGTCCAAAAAATCAAACTTAAGGATATCAATGCCAGGGAGGTCCAAGGACTTCAAATACAGGACACTCCCTGCAAGTGAGGTTCTCTGTATCTCAGGCACTGCGGCCTCCATAAAATCATCTTTATACACAATAGATGAATATAACCTATAACATTTCCCGGGGCATGTCCTCCCAGCACGCCCCGCTCGTTGATTAGCCTGCACTCTACTAATCTGTACAATATCTAATGAATACATCCCAGTTTGAGGATTATACTGTCTTTGCTTAACATAACCAGAATCAATAACATACACAACACCATCAACAGTCAAAGAAGTTTCAGCAATATTAGTTGCAACAATAAATCTCCTACAATTACTCGGAGGAGGGTTAAAAACTCGAACCTGTAACTCGGGTGGCAATGACCCATGAAGTGGATAAAACACAGCATCCATCACAGAACCTTCCTCTAAGCTCCTAACTCGATCCTCCAGCTTCTGCACCAACTTCTCAATATCCTCCTGACCTGTCATAAAGATCAATATATCCACTCCCGAACGTGTATATCGATCGCCTTCTTTAACGCCGCCTCGACAAAACTCTTAGTCACTTCATCCGTGTATATCACCTCCACCGGAAACAGCTTCCCAGGCACATTTAGCACAGGACACCCATTAAAAAATTCAGAAACTTTCTCCCCTTCAAGAGTTGCCGAAGTAATCAAAACCCTAAAATTCGCCGAATCACGAATACCCACCAATCTTTTCACAAGACCCATCAAAATATCCATATTCAAACTCCTTTCATGAGCTTCATCTAAGATTATCACGGAATATGATCGAAGTTCTGAATCAGATAAGCTCTCTCTAAGAAGAACACCATCAGTTAGGTATTTGATTCGGGTTTTTGTTGAAGTTCGATCTTCGAATCGAATTGCGTACCCAACTTCTTCCCCAAGTCGAACCCCCATTTCATGGGCGACACGGCGTGCGACGGAGACGGCGGCGACACGGCGAGGTTGTGTGACGCAAATGGTGCCGGAATCGGCGAAACCATGCCGGAAGAGGATTTGGGAAAGTTGGGTACTTTTGCCGGAACCAGTTTCTCCGATTAAGACAGTGACGAGGTTGTTCTTGACTGTTTCAACGATTTTGGCTTCGAATTGAAGAATTGGGAGCTTATCCATTGAAATGGAGTTGCAATGATGGCGGAAATTGTGATTGCGCCGCCGTTTAGCTGGAGGTTTTTGGGCGGGACTGAGGGGTGCTGTTCTTATATCCTGCGAGTTTAAGAATGACAATCCAAATTCCAAACTCTCTAGCAAATACAATTTTATGTGCCAGATAAACGCATTTATGTTAAACTGATGGTATTTCTGTAAATATATTGAAAAAATGTGGTCATTTATTTTATCTTTTTAGGTGAGCTATTCAATTACTGTTTGCAGATTGCATTTACTGTTTGGTGAAAGAAATTACACATGTACCCCTCAACTAGTACATGAAAAGACGCATGTACCCTCTACTGGTACTTTAAAAGACGATTATACCCCCCAAATAAACAAAATTATCTGAAAAATTAACTGGGCACAGCTCCTAGTTTACACGGGTCGCGTGCAACTAGAGTCTAAAGAACGGAGATATATAAATATTAAAGATACTTTCTAAAATAAAATAAAGTTAAAATTTGATAAAATTATGCGTTGATCGGTGTAATTAATGTTAATTTACCATTAATATTTCTTTTTATAGATTCTTATACATAGTCTTTAAGGCCCTTAGGGCTATGTTTATCATTTTCCATAAATTATAAATCTGATTAAAAACTCGTAGTGCTTCATTTAGGCATAAGTGAATAAGCTAAATGAGCCTAGCTCAAACCATTTTGGCTCACGGATAGCTCATTCATTTTGTTTGCTACGTTCATCTTGTGCCACAGACGGTAATTTTAAAATTTGTTATCCATTCTATACTATGTTTAATGTGCTCATTTAAAAGTCAATTTTAAAGGAAAATTATTGTGTAGAACGGACTCACATGAGTCCAATCATACAAAAAAAAAATTAACTGTTAAAAATTAGATAATAATGGTCAAATATTAGATAATAAGTATCAGAAATTAGATAATAACTGGAAGAAATTAGATAATATTGGTCAGGTTTTAGATAATAAGTATCAGAAATTAGATAATATTGGTCAAATTTTAGATAATAAGTATCAGAAATTAGATAATAAGTGTCAGAAATTAGATAATATTAGTCAGGTATTAGAAATTAGATAATATTGGTCAGGCATATAAACTATTGTTGGAGCTGCTCTCTTTTATAAATCTTTACAAAGTATTACATTAGACACCATTATCTTTACCCTCGATTTTTTTCACAAAGTCAGATTTTCTCATATTCTTTCTCAATTTCTTCATTTCTGAGCTCTATGTTTTGCGCCATTTTCGAATTTCTGGCAGGAGCTTCTTCGAGTTAATACGGAGAGGATTTGGTGGCAGATGCAGGAAGTTGCGGGCGGCGGCAGATTATGGTCGGCAGCAAATGCATGAAGTTGCGGTCGACGACAGATGCAGGAAGTTACGGTCGCAAATTATCGCTCTTTTTTATCTGTTGTTGATGTTTTGGTTTCGATTAGAGAAGAGGTAAGGATCTGAATGAGGAGGAGAGAGAAAATGTGAAAAAAATGGTGATGAATGAAGGATTGTAAAAATGGAGGAGAGAAAAAATGGAAGTGGTGTGTTTGAAGGTTATAAACTGGACTCACATGAGTCCGTTCACACAAAACCTTTTAATTTTAAATTTGTTCAAACCGAATTAAAAAAATAAAAAGCACGGAGTAATGATTATTATTTTTAGGCAAAATTGGTCTTAACATCATAAAATATTACTCCGTAGTTAATTACGATGAAGGTCATATGTACTAGCATGACCTTTAACTAGTAGCTAATGCAACATAGCAATATCATAAACTCCCGATCCCTAACAGAATCTCTATTGCCAGGTTTCAATTATGATATTTCACCCATTTGATGAAAGGTCAATTTTTCCTTATTCTTCTTCGAGTATTAGGATATAAATATAAATTACGATGTACATCTTACAAAAATTTATATATATTATATAATTGAAAGAAAGTTAAATTTAAAAGTTACACCCTAATCCAATTGAACTCCATTACGAAGTATTTAGTATTACGTATCTATATTTATTATTATTAAAACTCACGGGATTAACATGCTAACGCTATGTGTACCCTTATTATTATTTGGTACCACATGTACACCATGTGTCATCCTATGTGTAACACCCATCTCTCACCGCATTGAAATGCAATAACGTGTAATTAATTTAAAAACTCTTCATTAGTATACCTTTAATTCTCTATATTAATAATTTATTTACTTCAAAAACTATTCATATGTATAACCTTCCTATTTATATTTGACATTTTTAATATAAATATTAATGAAAAATAATAATTTAAATTATATTATTTTGACTTACTCAATTATAATTGTTCAACATTAACCTTTTTTATTAATTTTGATAAAATTTACATTATATCGGGGCATCGCCCGAGCCAATAACTAGTTATAAGGGTCTGTTCTCATACGTTGAAATTCAGTTCAGTTCAGCTCCTAATTTCCTTCTCTTATAAAATATTCAGTTTAGTTCAGCTCAGTACAGTTCAGTTGAATTCAGTCAATGAGAACATGCCCTAAGTTTATAACCAGTATCCTTAAGTTCTTAACCGATAATTTTGTGTGAGTTTGAGTCAAATTGACCAGTGTCACCTCTATCGATTTTGCTACATTTGACTTGAGGACTTCATTAAAATTTATTACAACCAGTCAACCATTGATTAATTAAATCCATTTATTGAAATAAAACATGAAACTAAACTTCAATTATTCAATAAGACAAATTTTCAATATTGAACTAGTTTGCTCTCAAAACTCCCAGTTGTCCTATTCTATTGAATTAACTCAACGTTTGAAGCTTCAATTTCCAATTTAATTTCAAGGTTCAACTCTCTTTCTTTCCCCCATTGTTCTTGATTCAGTCAAATGCAGCATTTTAATTATTTGATTTTGTAGTGGGTATGAATGTTTTGATAATTTTTTTCCCCAAAGTTTCAATTTTTAATCAAATGTCTGGAATTTGTAGTTGCTTACTTTCTTTAATTTGACATGCATGAATTTCCTTCGATTTTTACTAGTTTCATAGTCTGTGATGTTTATGCTTGTATTTTCTTATGATTTTTCTGGGACTAACTAAATAAATACATATCAATCTTTGTTCTATTTAATGGCTGTTTATGTTGGGCATAATTTGGTGTTTGAATAGTGGTTCAACTGCTGGGTAGAATACTCAAATTGGACAAAATCCCCCCAAAAATGGAGGGGAAAAGAAGGATGGAAATGGTAAAATATTTAAAATAATGGAAATGGGAAGTGAGAGAAAATTATTTTGTGTAAATTCAAGAATATACTTAGTAGATCAGTGTTGAGGGAGGGTGGCTAGAATCAATTTTCCTTGATCTAAAATCGTCGAGTTTCGAAGTTTCATAATCTGTTCAAAGGTGGTGGAAAGTCTTTTCTGCTTGATAAAAAATGGCCTCAGGGTTGTCAAGTAGGTTAATCAGATTCCCTAATGTTTGATATTTGGGGGTGGGGAAAGCGTCGTAAAGGCATTGCTTTTTATTGACCGAAATCACATCCATTCAATCATGTAGTGTTAATCTCTTCCTCCTTGAATTAAGGTATATGTATTGTTAATTGACTCCAGAAAAATGGAAGGTTTTCTTTTAAGTACTTCATTCTAGTTCTTGGCCTTTTGATTCTGTTCCCATTTGTTGACATGTTTCTACTTGGTTAAAGCCTTTGTTTTATATACCCGGTAAAACATGTATAGGAAGAAATTGAAGGATAGAAGCAATGTGTGACTTAGAGGGGATTCATGAGAATTGTTTTCATTAATGTCCGTGTTTCTTGTTTTTATTATAAGTATATGTATGGGACCTTCTTACTCTAATTTCTATCATCGTAAATGATTGCAGTTGATAGTGGTGCAAATCTCTGAAGGAAAGTTACAAATGAAATTGTGTCCTAGAGAGGTTGAGAAACTAGCTCTTCATAATGCTGGTTTCCTTGCGCAAAAGCGTCTTGCTAGTGGTCTTAGGCTCAATTATACCGAAGCTGTGGCTGTCATAGCAACTCAGGTGGCTACCACTTACTGCCACTTTATAAACCCATGCCATTCATATTTTTATTTCTGAATTGTTTAAGCATCTCTTAACAATTTTTTTTAATGTAAACTTTCTAATGTACTTCATTCAAAATTTGTGGAAGCATGGTTGAGTATTGTATACACAGATATTTGTAAAATTCTTTACACCCCATATAACCCCTTGATTTTGATGGAATTTGGGGCTTTCAGCTAATACCTCATACCTAATCCTTTACCTAAGTCAAGGAGCTAGGATCTGACTTCCACCTTTATTTATTAGTTCCTTGCCACCTGTTGAAAATAATTTCTCAAGCAATCACCTTCGAATTGAAGGGTCAATGCGTCACTATTAAGTATTAACAGCATCGAGATTTATCATCTGGTTGAATGTGTTTGGTATGTGGTTTAAAGCCTCAAAGCAAAAAGGTTGATATACTAATTGTTTTATTCTATAGATTTTAAGTTTTGTTCGTGTTGGAAACAAGAGTGTGGCAGAACTTATGGACATCGGGAAGCAGCTTCTTGGAAGGTAACTTATACGAAGTAGTTTTATTTTTATGTTTTGATCATCTCTAGGAAAATGCTCTTCGGAATAAAGAATTACTTTTCCAGCTTTCCTAATGTTTTGCTATGTTTGGATAACAAATTAGAAGGGAAATGAAAGGGAGGGAAATAGAAGGGGAAGGAAGGGAAAGTGGAGGAAATGATGAGCTCCATTTTCCCTCCAAATCTCTCCAATTTTGAAGCAATGATCTTTATTAAAGGAGGAGGGAAAATGGATCCCTCCCTCCCCCTCCCCCTCCCCTTCCCTCCCCCAACATATTATCCAAACAAGGAACTTTGTCTCCCTCCCTTTCCCTTCCCTTCCTTTCCTTCCATTTTTTGTTATCCAAACATAGCCTTTGTGTCTCCTACTCCCCGGGATCAACCTTCTGATGTGTAAACAATTGTATTATCATGCCGAAAACCTATACAACGCACTTGTTTTGTTTCCTTTTGTTTTCATATTCAGACCTCCATGTGTTGTTTCACAACTATTTAGTTATGTGAATGTTTGCACCCAAAAAAAAAAAAAATTATGTAAATCTGTTGCTTGAAGTAGATTTTGATCTGTTGAGGAAAACTCACAAACTCATTGTCATTATATCTATTGGAACCGTGGAAGGAAAATATTTCTCTTTATGATGAGCACTGTCATAAAGAGTGATCTTCCATCCTGTAGTGGTAGTTGGTGATCTGGGAAAGACTGCTTTGTGGAGGAAGTTTGGGATGCTGTTAAGAATTTGGGTGAAGAAATTTTTTCAGATTAGGTCCATTTTAAAAGTACGTTCTTAAAGTTACCAGATTGTATAGATGACTGTTGGTTTCTTTACTACCTTTGATAAAAATTGTATGGAGTATCTTAAAATCTTTTATGCCACTTTTATGATGTGGCTTTTACATGCGTAGTTGAGATTAGAACCCAATACTGTAACTAATTGTATGGATAGTTGTAGCTTTCTTTACTACCTTTGGAAAAGTATGCTCAAACAATCAAACCTATTGATAGATCTTTTAATTTGAGATGAGGAAGTAGTAAATTAGAAGGCTTTACTTTGGGAAGCACCTTGATGCCTAACCTTGTCGAGTCCAAAAATGTTGTCCAGAGTCTAAGTTTGAAGACAATAATTCACGAAATTGGACCGTTTATGGAGATTGACTCGATGACAAAAACTCAAGTGATGGCAGGGGAGGCATCCCTAGGTCAAATAACGTTGTTTGAATCCATATATACAACCACTAATTGGTCGCATAAAGGCCCGTGGTAGCATTGAGTTAATAAAAAGAGACTTGCACGTAACCTACTACATTGACAGCTTAAAGGCAATGTTGATGGTTCCAACCACCCAAATGGCCTCTCGGGATTTTTTTATTTTTATTTTTGGGCCCAAATAACTCGAAACCGAAAACTATAATAATTGCTTAGAGGCCAATTTTGAGAGAATTTTCCAAGAATGAACTGAATGTGTATGGTGGTCCCCAAAATAAAAAAATGTTTGTTTTGAACCATAATAGGCATTCCGTTAGGTCTATAAAGTTTCGAGAATGAGTTAAGTCTAATATGTGGTGGTTTCGGAATTTTAATGCATTGGTAGTTAAGAGTTATAATAGAGCATCCCTCTGTCCAAAAAAAAAATAAAAAAAAAATAGAGCATCCCAGGTGAGAAGCACCTCAATGCCTAATCTTGTCCGATCCAAAAATGTTCTTCTGAGTTTAATAATTTTTTAGTCTATAATTCATGAAATCGGACCATTTTGAAGATTTTTGACCTAGAGTCGAAAAATCAAGTGATGGCAAGGGAGGCATCCTTAGATGTGTTGAGAAGTATCTCGATGCCTAATTTTGCCGAATCTGAATTTGTTCTCTGGAGTCTAATTTAAAGACTATAATTCGCAAAATCGGACCATTTTTTGGAGATTTTAGAACCGGTATTAAAAACTCAAGTGATGGTAGAGGAAGCATCCCTAGTTAAATAACGTTGTTTGGAACCATATACCACCACTAACCGGTTGCATAAAGAGTTATAACTAGAGCTGTCAATTCGGGTATTCAAGTCAGGTTTGGGTCGGGTCTAATCAGGTTTCGAGTTAAATCAGGATTAGGTTTTGTCGGATCAATCTAGCTTCAGGTTCGGGCCGGGTTATAGACTTATAGTACATCACTTTTCAACATTAGATAATGTCTTCTCACATGTAATGAGAAGCTAACCTAAAATTTTGGTTATGGCAGGCGACAGGTCCTTCCAGCTGTTGTTCACATTTTACATACTGTCCAGGTACATGGCTTCAATTCTTAATAAACTTTGTGTATTTTGACCGTAAAATGTTCCAGAGTCATGTTGCTGATTAATCCAAGATAAAGTTTCCTGGTTTCAAATTTGTTATTCTGATCTCTCAGGGTGTTTCATTCATGGATTCTGACAGGTGTGACAGCTTGTCTTCTTTCATGATAATTTGGGAATCACTTTTGTTTATTAGTTTCTGGACTTTAGAACACAATGAATCAGTCAAACGAAATTCATTATTTAGGACTCAGAGTTTGTAACTGCTTTTTTTTTTCTTTTCTTTTTTTTTTTTTTTCAGAACATTACTACATAAATGTATTGCTTTCATGTTTAGGTTGAAGGGACCTTCCCAGATGGGACTAAGTTGATCACCATCCATGATCCTATTGCTAGTGAAAACGGAAACTTAGAGTTAGCTCTTGATGGTTCCTTTCTTCCAGGTTACAATCTGCACTTCTTTTTGTTTACGTCACTTTATCTACTGGTACAGCAGCATATTCAGTAGCACCAGGATGAAAATTCATTTAATGAGGCATTGATTAAAACTTTAGCTTTGCAGTTCCATCATTGGACAGATTCCCGGAGTTGGAAGACGATATTGTACCCGGTGAGCTAAAGCCTGGGGTTGGAGACATCTCCCTGAACAATGGCAGGAGAGCAGTAATCCTCAAAGTTGTTAACAACGGAGATAGACCGGTTCAGGTGCACTCCTTAACTAGATTTAAGTGAATAGATTGATTTAAGAGATTAATTTGGTAACCAACTTAATTCTTCTTAACTAGATTTAGAGAAAAGATTGATTTAAGAGATAAATTTGGTGGCAAGGTGAAAAATATCTTCAAGATGCGACAACTGAGTTTGATTTTAATGGCAACGACACTAGTCCTTTGTTTGAATTTTTATAAAGAATTCTCTCTCTCAATGGTTCAAGCACAACAGCTCAAGATAGACATATTAATTCATATGCATCCAACTATATTTGCGGGCATGTGACTTGAATTATGGCAAAAATAATTTAACTTTCCTTGTATCTTCTACACAGTTCAGGAGAAAACAACTAACTTATTTTGCTGCCCTGCAAGGAAACTAAATGAACGCTTACTAACACTAAACATAAACCCCGGCCAATTAAAGAACCAATGCTGCCCAATAATTATCTGATATGAAGTATAGCTTTTGAAACCTAAGACTCCATAAATGTAGGAATTACATACATAAAACAAATCCCAACACATTAAACCCTCACTATAAGAACCATTATAAAGTGCTTCCTAGGAAAGCAATTAAACAAAAGTAACTCCTATAACAAGACTAAATCAGCTGTTAGGAGTCTTAGGACCCAAGGACACTGTCTCAGCCAGTGTAACGAAGAGAAAGCTTTGGAATCCTAATTCTTTCTTGGCCTATGTTTGGGTACCTGAGCTGTAGTTTTAAAGTGTTTTTAAGGACCTTTTTCCTTTAAAGTTCATACCACAGTATCAGTTGACCGCGTATAGCATTCTTATATTCCTAATCAGTCTTGTACTTGTGTTCAGGTTGGCAGTCACTATCATTTCATTGAGGTGAATCCTTCCTTAATATTTGATCGAAGAAAAGCTTATGGCATGCGATTGAATATACCTGCCGGAACAGCAATACGGTTTGAGGTTTGACTCTGCATTTTAAGCGTTTGACTGTTGCACTATCAACTTCCTTTGCTGAAATAATTTTAGTCCTTTATCTGCAAAAGTTATCTGTCCGGTGAAGTGTTGAGACTGTCTATTGTAAAGCTACAAACCTTCCGCTCCAGAGGTTGTGTTAATGTGATATCGTTCCATTATAGTAATATTATGCCTTCCTATAGTTCCATTATTAACAATTTGAACTTAGCCAGTCCTCTACAACAACAAAGCCTTAGTCCCAAAATAATTTGGGGTTGGCTAACATGTATCGTCACAAGAAACCGTCCGACAAAGAAAAAGGGAATATAACAAGATAGCCAATTGAAAAAGTCCTCTATTGTGACTTTTTTTTTTTCTTTGGTAAAGTGATGAGTCCTCTATTGCCACTCACCCATCTATAGATTTAGGATTATTGTATAACTCCTAAATGATATGGAATTGGAATGATAATGCATTTCCTTCAATTTTTCAACCAAACCCAAAATTGACTTTGTTTTAAGAGGTTGCTTTATTGATTTTTCTAATTTCTGTTATTGTTGAACCTTAAATTTACCGGATTTTCTTCTGTTTGTTTGTTCCTTTAATTTGCTAGCCAGGGGATCCAAAAAGCGTCACTCTTGTAAGTATTGGAGGTAAAAGATGCATTAGAGGAGGGAACAACATTGCTTATGGTCCAGTTGATGATGCCAAAATTAAAACTATAATGGACACTATACATTCTAGAGGATTTGGACATTCAGATGAAGATAATGCCAGGTCAATAATTACTGCATACTGTATTTATGTCTAGACACGTGAATGTCATAGCTTGAATTCTTTATAGACCCCCCTCCTAATTGGTTTGCAGTAGAGGAGTCACCGGAGAAGATTCGAATTTCACTAAAACTATGTCTCGTGAGGCTTATGCAAACATGTATGGCCCTACAACTGGTGATAAAATCCGGCTTGGTGACACTGATTTGTTTGCAGAAATAGAAAGGGATTTTGCAGTTTATGGTGATGAATGTGTTTTTGGAGGCGGGAAAGTTCTAAGGGATGGAATGGGTCAGGCTTCTGGGTACCCATCAGCTGTCTGTCTGGACACTGTTATCACTAATGCCACGATAATTGATTATACCGGAATATTTAAAGCAGATATCGGTATTAAGGGTGGTAATATTATTGCCCTCGGAAAAGCGGGTAATCCAGATACAATGGATGGTGTATCAGCCAACATGATCATTGGGGTAACAATAATCACTATTTGTGTGCTACTTGTACTAATTAGATTTCTATTTTGTTTCAAGTACATAATGCATTTGAATTTTTATATTATCAAATGTATCAGGTCAATACAGAGGTGATTGCTGGAGAAGGAATGATTGTTACAGCAGGGGCTATAGACTGCCATGTGCACTTCATATGTCCTCAATTGGCTTCTGAAGCAATATCCAGTGGTAAGGATCTAATTGATCTAAATTGTGTGAGCTGCTGCTGCAAAAAAAAAAAAAAAAAAAGGCTGTAGTTGTTCCATGGTTTTAAATAAAAAAATTGCTGATATGATGTAATGCTAATGAATACACTGAAGTCGAAATTATTTTTTAGGATTCTGGACCATCTTCAACTTGTTTGTCAAACATATCTTGTCGTTTCTTTTTCCAGTTAAACTTGTATTGCTTTTGTAGGAATTACTACTTTGGTAGGAGGTGGAACTGGACCTTCTTTTGGGACACGCGCAACTACCTGCACACCTGCACCTTCACACATGAAATTTATGTTGAAATCCACTGATGATATTCCACTAAACTTTGGTTTCACTGGTAAGGTAGGCTTAAGTTATTGTTTTGTAAGAATTTAAGCTTTTCTCTTGGGTGCTGGGAAGTGGCATGAATACGCATAATTTTATCCTTTGTACTCCCTATGTCCCTAAAATATTGCCCCAAACCTTTAACTTCACTTTTTTAAGAAGCAAAGCCAGATTTATGCACATGAGGGACACAATTATTGATGATGAGAGATAGATAGAGAGAGCAAGTTGGGTTGCAAGTGGGAAAATTTACCAAATAGGTTTTGGGGTGATCTTTTTGGGGCAGAGGGTGTATTTGCCATTTTGTTCGCCTGTAACAATTTTTAGGTATTGAGTCTCTGATTGAAACATTGACTCTTATAACTACTTTTGTTGAATGTCACTAGGGTAATAGTTCTAGGCCAGAAGGACTTCCTGAAATAATAGTTGCTGGAGCAATGGGACTGAAGCTTCATGAGGATTGGGGAACGACTCCTGCTGCAATAGACAGTTGTCTTAATGTTGCAGAAGAATACGATATTCAGGTATTACATCGTAGCATTTATGTGAAGAATATGGTACATGGATTAATATCCAAATGATTATTGTCCCAGATGTCATTAATGTTTTTTTGTAGACCTGGCATATTTCATTTGTGCGACTTGTTCTTATCTAATAATTTCTTAAGAGCCATGTTTTGCTATATAAGTCCTGTGTACAGGTTCATTCTATAATGGGGATTATATAAAATGCCCTGAGTTCAAGGTGTTTTCTCAGAAATTCCCAAAGTACAATGAAGTACCAAAAATTGCTCCCAAACTAATCTTATGCTAACGGGTCTTTGGCAGTATATATACCCTCTCTTCGTCTCTTATCTATCTCCACTTTGAAATTTGAATCCCTCCTCCTCTACATGGATATATAAAAATTCATTTTTTAATGCTTATTCTGTACTTTATTAGTATTTCAGTACCTATTGGTTTGGAAATTGAAGCAAGCTAGCAGTGTAATAGCTGCGACTGATGCTGGCTTGCTGCACTAATACTCAGTTTTTAGATTTTTTTTGTCAGCTTAATTAAGCATACTACTTACTATGGGCTTGTATTTTTCTCTTTTGTCCCATTTGCCAGGTCAATATCCACACGGACACATTGAATGAATCTGGATTTGTTGAACACACAATTGATGCATTTAAAGGAAGAACGATTCATACTTACCACAGGTGTGAATTGTGGTTATATTTCATCTATATTTATGATGAAACTTGATTTGTGAAGTACACAGAAATATTAGCTTGAAACTATCTGCATGTATCTGTTCATTGTATTGCTTGAGCAGTGAAGGTGCAGGTGGTGGTCATGCTCCTGATATAATCAAAGTCTGTGGAGTTAAAAATGTTCTTCCATCTTCAACTAATCCTACTAAACCTTTCACTTCGAATACAGTAGATGAGCACCTTGACATGCTGGTATGCCTCCTTATCTCCCACTGTCCGTGTGTGTGCGCCTCCATTTCATTTATGCTTTTTGCCTTTTCTTCTGTCTTCATGCAGATGGTCTGCCATCACCTCAACAAGGACATTCCAGAAGATGTGGCTTTTGCTGAATCACGAATCCGTGCTGAAACAATAGCTGCAGAAGATATTCTGCATGACATTGGTGCCATCAGTATCATATCTTCTGACTCGCAGGCTATGGGTCGCATTGGAGAGGTTTGTTAATATGACATCATCTACTGTAAAGCAAAGTATATTTGCTTATCTTTATGTGCTCTTCCCTCTCCTTCCTGTCACGTTTTGCAATTTTTTTATTTTTTATTTTTATTTATTTATTCTTATTATTATAATAATTTTTTGCCATAAAATGAGGGATTTGCCACCTGGGGGATGTTTTAAAGAAGGAAAATCCCAAGAGAGAGTTGATCCCTTGTCTTAGGGTTAAGAATGTGAGTTGCACTTTGTTGTGTGAAATGAATATATTACTTCCACAAGAATCATTCTGTTTTGGGTATAGAAGAAACACTAAATTTCACAAAAAGGTAAAATTACCAAGTACCAAAGTAGCTGTGTCGATCTTCGTTCCTGCTCTCACTGATACAGATATTAATGATTTATGCAGTATTTTTCTATGTCCATATGATTATTTTAAAAGCTATCCCCAGTACTAGTCCAGGAAAGTCAATGCTGTCAAGAAGCTGTTCTGTTAAATTGATATACCAGTATATCGAACGGTTGGACTTTCTAGTCTCAGTTATATTCATTTATGCAGGTTATATGTAGGACTTGGCAAACTGCACACAAGATGAAATTACAGAGAGGACCACTGCCGTCAAGTGAAACTGACAATGATAATTTCAGAATTAAACGCTACATAGCAAAACACACCATTAATCCTGCCATAGCGAATGGGTTTTCTAAGTATGTTGGATCAGTTGAGGTGTGTTGCTTAAACCAGCTTGGCATAAAATTTGCATCATCTATAAGTCTCTCCTTGAATATTAATTTTCTCAAATTAAAATTATTTTTTTTACATGATTTACTTGGCTCTCATATGCATAGTACGCAAGAAAAGATACAACGAGAGTTCTAGTTTTTTCATTGAATTACTATTCCCTGCAGGTTGGGAAGTTGGCTGATCTTGTTGTGTGGGATCCTGCTTTCTTTGGGGCAAAACCAGAAATAATCATCAAAGGTGGTGAAATTGCATGGGCTAATATGGGTGATGCTAATGCTAGCATACCAACACCAGAGCCGGTAACAATTTTTTGTCATTGTTTAAAGGAATTATATGCAAACTAGTTCGATGTCTTAGATATGGTTTATCAAACATCAGAAAATTATGCATTTAGCATTCACATGATGCTCCCTCCATCCCGATTTCCTTTTAAATAGCTCTATTTTTGGTTGTTGCATAGCATTAGAAGATTTAGAACATTTTCTAATTACACCGTATTAAGTAAAATCTGAACTTTATCGTTTTTTTTGTATGATATTATTAAGGTCTTATCTAAAAAGTCCAAAGGACATGTAAGAAATCCAACTGATATGTTGGAGATTTATTACTTAAGAGTTAAGGATAATCATGGGTTTTAACTAAGTTCCTTGAAAGTGACCCCCAATCAAATGTGAGTGACGGAAGGAAGATTTAATCATGTAGCTTGCATAATTTATTGGCCATACAAGTTGAAAGGTACTGAAAATGTCCCTGAGTAGAAGCATCCAGTGGTGTTATGTTATAAGAGGGTGTCTAGCCGAGTTCTTATTATCAAGGCATTATTGTAGGTGATCATGCGGCCTATGTTTGGAGCTTTCGGAAAAGCTGGAAGTGCTAATTCGATCGCTTTTGTCAGCAAGGTATGCACACAATTGATCACTCTCTTTTGGAAAATAGACAATTAGAAATTTTGGACATTCGCATTGTGAATCTTTTACATACTGAATCTGTTTTATGAAAATCAATGGAAAAGCGGGCCTGTTCGTCCATGGGAACTATATAAGATATATATGTTGGTTTGACCTTAACTCTGAAATTTTCCACAACTTTATCCTGCAAGCAAACAAAGACTTATTGGACATGTTTTAAACTTAAGATACTATGCTTTTCCTGAAATCTTCTGAATTTCCTTATTACAATATTTTGTACTTTGTGTTTTTACGCTTATGGTTCTTGGTTGAGATTTAGTTTTATAAATCAATTTGTTTTTCAAAAGGCAGGTCTTACCCTACATCACTGTCAAAACTTTTACTATCTGCTAATAATGCTATTGTTCTTGATATTGCGTATGCAGCCTTTTCTATAGTTATCTAATTACAAGTGTTGTCTTTATATCGAAACATAACTTTCTTTTCAATTGGAAATGGGTAACATTTTTTGATATCATATTTTATCTGAAGAAACTAGTTCAAATGAACGGTGAAAATAAAATTTTCCATGACTGTGTACACATGTGTGTACTGTCGGTGCATGTCATTCACACCCAAGAATAAATTCAATTAGACCTGCTCAATTCTCTGTTAACAGGCAGCTCTAGACAGGGGAATAAAGGAACTGTATGGGCTTGACAAGAGAGTAGAAGCAGTGGGTGGCGTAAGGAGTGTTACCAAAGAAGACATGAAACTCAATAATTCCCTGCCAAAGATCACGGTCGACCCTGATACTTACACAGTTACTGCTGATGGCGAGGTGCTCACGTGTTCACCAGCAACAGCTATTCCATTGTCACGAAATTACTTTCTGTTTTAGGCTTTTATTGGTAAGTTTCTCTTCAGTTTACTTATTTAGGTACACTTTATTATTTGGTGTGAATTTTTTCTTTGAAATTTCACCTAGGCATCTGGAGATGTTTTATCTCAAACTTTAGTAGCGCATGAGAATAATGTTCTTTTTCCTTCATTTAGGTAAAGTACTTCTGAATTTATCACAGTTATCCCGCGAAAGAGGCCTATGAAGAAATGGAGAAGTTTTTATGATTGCAGACAGACCTACAATCACATCTGGTTTAGGAAGAATAATTAACCAATCAGCCCTTAAGACTATATATAAGCATTAAATATACTTTCTAAAATGGAAATGAGTTGGGAATTCATAACAAAATCACACGCAAATTAATGTAATTAATGTTAATTTATTCTCAATATTTCCTTTTGTAGCTTCTTATACATGGCTATGTTTATCATTTTTCATTATTTATTGCAGGCGACATTTAATGAAAAAAATCAATAAATTCAAACTGAATAAACAGAATAATAGAAGAGTGTTGGCTAGTGATTCTAGCGAAATGATTTTTTTTTTTGGTGTTTAGAGAGCCACAGGGGCGAGGTGAGAATCGATCCCAAGATCTCCTGGAACCGGGAGGAAAGCTCTAACCACTAGAGCTATCCCTCACTCTCGATTCTACCGAAATGATGCTGGTAGTTCATACACCATAGATTACTCTTCTGGTTAATTAGGTACTCTTCATTCATTTTTCTTTTATTTGCCTGTACACTTGTACTGAATTCTTTTGGAGGTGGAGGTTAGGGAGGATTACCCTCTTTGAATAAGCCATGAATATGTCGTACTAGGTTCTTTTGTCAAACGCAATGTATATGAAGTATAGAATTTGATAAATTTTGTAAGATTTATTCGTACACTACAAGTCTCTTGGACTTGGACTTGATCTTCTACATCTTCTGTAACATCGGTCACGCTCAAGACACTTCTATTCATTCATCAATTGTTCAGGTTTTTTTTATCTTGGCCCTTATGTACAGTATTAAAAGCTTGAAAGTGAACATCAAAGGAAAACCGTCTTAAATCAAGATTACAGATCAGATCTGCACCATTAAAGGTTAAAAACAGGGACGAAAAAAAACATAGGCTATTGATCAATTTTACATGACCCGAAAATATTTTGACTAATATTAATTGATTTTTATAATATTTTGACCTAAATACGAGTACACGCTAATACATTCAAACCGGTCAAAATGACCTAAGTAGACATCTTGACTTAGTGGCTAAGATCAAGGCCTCAAGAGCTAAGGATAGGTCACAAATTTGTAACTCCCCTTCTCCATTTGTAATTTATAATGTATTTTCATTTCTTAAAAAAAAAAAAAAACCAAACTTTACCAAAATCAAGAGATAGTGAGTACGGAGTATATTTTTGGCCTAACGATTATAATGGTCTTTTTTCTATCTTATTTAATGAATTATATAATTAGTAATTAAGAGGTACCCAATTATTTTGAAACGAGCCACAAATTCACGTTACAAATTTAGTTGAGCTAACTGATTAGTACTTTGTATTTACTAAACTATGACTTTTAGCAATACTAGTATGTAGTATAACAAAAAACCATATGATATGATTTTATCTTATCTTATCCTATCACCATATTTCATATTATATCAAAAATAACATCTTTCCCCCTTGTTTTTCTTCCCTTAGTTTCATAAACTCAGCTCAAACCCAGCAAAAAAAACTGTATGATCCTACGAAAATGTCGCGAATTGAGACTGAAGAATTGAAGATTGCAAGGAGGAGACTTGCAAATGTAGCCAACCATGTTAACCCAGAAATAGTAACACACTCAAAATCCCATCAACTTTATGGTTGTTCCATTTCTTTGTCAGCAACTTCTATGAATGACAACTACCACAAGGTTCATGGTCAGGTTTCGACTGATCCTGTCGTCTGGAAAGCTGCTACTGATGATTCTGGTGATGATTTCATTGATATTATTTACGAAAAAGCCGTTGGTGAAGCCATTGCTAAGGTCATCACTTCTTACCACTAGTACTTCCTCTGTATTATATTTTACTGGTTCATTTTATTGTTATGAATAAGTATTTGATTCATTTTACTGATAATGTTGAGTTGACGATTCAGGCAAATGAGTCTGTTACTATATATTCGAGTTTAATTTGGTTTTGATTATGCTCAAAACATATAAAAGTTTCTTTGAAACATAACAAATTATGAACATCTTAGTCAAATTAGGTGATCAAGGGTTAAGGTAAGGTTTGACTTTCTCTCAGTAACTTCAGGTCGGGTTGACTTTGTTAGCTTTACTAAAAAGAATACAGTATTGTCTGATATTAATGAATGACTTTTTTTGTTTTTGTTTTTGTTGTTGGTGAGTAGATTACGATAAACAGGCCAGAAAGAAGAAATGCTTTTAGGCCGGAAACAATTAAGGAGCTTATTCGAGCATTTGACGATGCAAGGGATGATAGTTCAATTGGTGTTATTATTCTAACTGGCAAGGTGATTAACTCGGCTGCTTTTCGTCAATTGTATTATCTTCTTTGTTGATTTTTGGATTTCTTGGCTGTTTCCCTTTTGCTGTTAATCATGACATGTATTTGCAAGCTGTATTATATTTTTGTTGATTACATGCTTTTCGGCTTTGCTCTGGCTAGGTGACTTTGGCAATATGAGCATTAGCATTTTAGCTGAATTAATAGACTGAACATGAAACAGCAGTTATGCATACAGAAGTTTAGTTACAGATTAATTTGGTGTTAAAGAGTCGAATTTAAGTGCAGAATTCAGCGCGTTACAGGTTGAGTATTATGCTAAGGTGCTTTGGTCTTGCAGTTGTTTGGTTGTAGTTTCATGAAATTGTTGTTCTGCAGGGGACCAAGGCATTTTGCAGTGGCGGAGATCAGGCAATTAGAGGGAAGGATGGCTATATTGACTCAAAAAAAATTGGCCGTCTTAATGTTTTGGACTTGCAGGTGTATTTATATCTTTGATCTCTCTTAACTTCAATCCAATAAGTTTGCATCTTTTTCTCACTTTTGTGCTCGTCTTCAAGTAGGTCCAAATTAGGCGGCTTCCAAAACCAGTTATAGCAATGGTATGTTACTATGTTCATTTTCCATCTTGCTAATCTATGAAGTTTGTCTAGCTTAAATACATATATCTATATATAATTGCGTGATTTTTATTCAGGTTGCTGGTTATGCTGTTGGAGGAGGACATATTCTGCACATGGTATGCGATTTAACTATTGCTGCTGATAATGCCATTTTCGGGCAGACAGGTCCAAAGGTTAGCCATTTATTTTTCACTGCTAGAACATTGTTACTTGTAAATGTGTTATATTCTGTTGATTTGGAGTACAGATTGTAGAGCAGCAGCTATTGCTGTATAACATAAGCATATCTGCTGGTGATGTATTACAGGTAGGCAGTTTTGATGCGGGTTATGGAAGTTCTATCATGTCTCGTTTGGTGAGTATCAAAGCTCATTGATTAATAGCTCTGAATTGCTCAAGGTTTGTGCAAGAATATTATGCTAAGCAAACGACTTAACATGGAATTTGGTCAAGCAGATTGGACCCAAAAAGGCGCGTGAAATGTGGTTTCTTACCAGGTTTTACCCAGCAGCTGAGGCAGAAAGAATGGGACTTGTCAACACAGTTGTACCTGTAAGTAATTCTTTAGTAACTAATGCAGAATTTCACATGAAAAATGGGGGTGACTGTTAGAGGTGCTTAAACGTTGAAGAAATCATATATTTTCTTGTGTAGTTGGAGAGTTTGGAGCAAGAGACAATAAAATGGTGTCGCGAGATCTTAAGAAATAGTCCTACTGCAATTCGAGTACTCAAATCAGCTATCAATGCAGTTGATGATGGTCATGCAGGACTTCAGGTACCTAAAATCATACCATAAATCATTAGTACAATAATGTAGTATAATAAACCTTAGTTAATGTGTGTTATTTTGGACGTGACAAAAGCAAATTGGAGGAGATGCAACGCTCTTATTCTATGGAACGGAAGAAGGTAACGAAGGGAAGACAGCATACAATGAAAGAAGGCGGCCTGAGTTCTCCAAGTTTCCTCGTCGACCATGATGGATGCTTGATTCTATTTTCTTCCTAGAAGGACATACACTCCATGGTTTTTTGGAATGGATTTTCCTATTGGTTGTACAAGTATTGATTAGTAAAATTTGGTGGACTTGTAATTGTATTTAGAATGAAACTCATTTCATGAAAGCAAGCTCCTTGAATTACTTGATATGTTTGATCTTTGAGATATTGTTAATTGTATTTAGAATGAAACTCATTTCCTAATTGATTTTCATTGTTAACTATTGATGAAAGTGTATTGTTATTAATTTCAAACAGAGTGTAGTGGATCTCTGTACTGGGCTCCTTAGATGGTCATCTAGTTTTGGGCCTTGTTATATTGCGTTGGTAGATTGCATGTCCTACTAGACTAGTAGCCTTTTGCAGTATTTTGCTTTTTTTTTTTTTTTTTTTTTGGTAGGTAAGTTGAAGGGCCCTATTGGACTGGAATGCCTCACGGGTAGACCTGTCAATTCGGGTCAATGGGTTGGGTTTGGGTCAAAGGTTCAAGTGGTTTAGATTGCTTGAATCATTACAAATTATGATAAATGGGTCAAATCAGGTCTATTTCGGGTCATTTGGGTTGGGTTTGGGTTTCTCTCTCAGTAAAACAGTACATGTTTAAAATCGGGTCGGGTCAGGAATTGTCAGGTCTACTCACGGATCAATCAGCCTATACAATTTAGAAGGGAGGGGGGGGTTAAGGGAATCTCATCCCCCTAATTGTCACTGATAGGTATTGAACCTCTAAACTTATGATTGGAGCTTAGAGGTTACTATCCTATCCACTAAACCAAACTTAATTTGGTAAAGTATTTGCGTTATTATGTGTTAGTTAGATGAATGAATGTTATAATCTCAAATTTTTGGGTACCAACTAGGGCTGAGCAAAACTACTCGAAAAGCCGAAAACCCGTTCCGTTACCGTTCTGAAAATTAGGGTACCCGATCCGATAACCATAATGGTTCGGGTATCCGTTTCGATAATTTGTTATCGGGTATGGTTATTGGGTATCATTTTAAAATTAACGGTTACCCGTTCCGAACCGATAAGCAATTTTTTGTTTTTTTATCCTACTTAATCTATTTTTTCCAAAATCTAAACTCTTACTTTACTTCATAATCACTATATATCAATGATTAGTAATATAATTAATAATTTGGTCAAGATCATGTGGTATTGTTAATTAGTGTTAAAATATATCATAATAACTAATTTATTAAGTTTAATGATCACTATTGGATATTTTATTGGGTACCCGATAACCGTTCCGAAAATTTGGGTACCCGAACTTATCGGTTCGGTTTATGGATATCACTTTTAGTGATATTGGTTATCGGGTACCTGAATCGTTAGTACTAATGATACGGGTACCCGTCCCATGCTCACCCCTAGTACCAACCTTTTAAAACCTCTTGTTCAAATACTTTGTATTTCTTGTTATTTGAAACTCTATTACGTCTCTTTTCAAATACTTCGTATGTCTTGTTATTTGGCCAATAATATTTAGGGTTTGTTTACTTCAACTTAATTTTAGTTCTCTTCATCTCCAATCAGTTCAGTTCACTCCAGTTTAGTTCAGCTCTAATCAGTTCAATTTAACTTTAATCAGTTCAGTTCAGTTCAGTTCAATAAATATGAACAGACCCTATGAATAGAACCATATATGTATGTATTTTTTTATTTTTTTTTTGAAAGCTCTTGTATATACGTACTTCTTGTACGTACTTGTAAAATACTATGTCGTACATTCGAATGTATAATGAAATTTGTTGCGTTATAGGCTCATACGGGATATTTCGCAGAATTTCTAGGACCACCCAAACACCTCATATATGTGTACATAGTCATACAATTATAATTGATCACACGAACACTGTCATTTTCAGCCAGTACTAAAGTTAATGGTCCCATTAATAAATTATTGACATTTCAAAGTGGAAACCTTCTAAATCTTTGACAAAAGAAATTGTACGTACATGATAGTTGTAGAATCACACAATCTTAGGCTTCATTTATTGTGCATACTACAATGTTTTTCCACTACTACTATGTCTTGTTTCTATGTTTGTCTTAATCATACTTGTAAATATCAAACGTAACACCTTTATATAATTACATTACTTCCTCCGTTATTTTTCTATTGCACTATGAGTGATTTTACTTTTGTTAATACATTATTTTGTCTATTAATATTTTAAATTACATTTTTGTAAAAATTATAAAAATTTGATATTTAAAAGAGAAATTATCATTGGTACACCCTATGTTTAGGCTTTTATCAATGATACACCTGCTTAATTTTTAATTATCAGTATCTATATACTATACTAAAAGAGAAGAATGTCTGTCTCTGATTCGCTTCTCTTAATATAGTAAAACAATAATATATATATACATACATATATATATATATATATATATATATATATATATATATATATATATATATATATATATATATATATATATATATATATTAAGCACAAAAGATAAAGTAACAAAATTCAATTATGGTAAATAATTGAAAATAAAAATATTACTCTATTTATATCTGAATTTTGTATATGACTTAATGCATATCATCTATTCATGTTTCAGAGTATTATTAATGTATGATATTCTTCTTAATTCTTTAGTAAGTAGTTGCGTTAAACGACTGTTTAAGGAATTGAGCTGAGTGTTTCTTTTTTTTTTTTTCCTCCAAACACTATGAGATAAATAATGATCGATTAAATATATGACTTTGGATATTTTGAGATTATATGATAAATAAATGCTAATTACTTATTAATCATTTTGCAAAGAAGATGAGTTAATTGTTAGCAAAAATTGTGCCAAAAAATTATGACAAGCGAATCAATGTGGATCTTAGAGGTGTCAATTTTGAGTGTTTGAGTCGCCTTGGGCAAGGTCGGGTAATTTTGAGTGTTCGATTTATATCTTATATTTGTAGTACTATATACGAAGTATTAAATAAGAAAAATTTATGCCAAAATTTATGACAAGTGGATCAATGAGAGCTAACAAGTGTCATTTTATGACTCGCTTATCTTATATCTGTAATATTATATGTAAAATTTTCATAATATATTACATAATATTTTTGGTTAATTTTTAATATATAAATTTTATAGATTTAAAAATAAATTTGATTGAATTTGATTGATTCTAAATATTGCAAATGAATTCCAAATATTTATGCATACATGATAACTATTAAATATTCCATACAATTCTATAATTAATAATTAAATATTACTCCGTATCTAATATATGAAGATTATTATCATTTTTATAATCATTGAATTTTCATCATATTTTAATTTTATATAATTTATTCATACCTATATGCTATAATTTTTTTATTCATTCATATTTATAAGAATACAGGTCATAAAAAAATACATTACCAACATGATTGATTAGTTGATGATGAATTATGTCATTCATTCATATAAATCTTAAAAGTAATAAATACTCTGTATCTTTTATTCAAATGTTAGTTTTCAATATTGATCTACATCTATATATTTATGTTGTATATTCAATCAATTGGTTGTCGTACGACTACTATATAAAAGTTTTTGGCACAATGCTTAGAAAAGTATATATGTAGGTAAGATATAAGGTTCTTATTGTGTCAATAAAGATTTAGTATTCTTCAAAAAAAAAAAAGATTTAGTAAATATGACGGGTAAAATAGATATTAGGTTGTACAGCTATCAGGGTCTGTTTTGTTCACTTTATTTTCACTTATTTCAAGCGTAATAAGTTCAATTAAGTTCAGATATATTCAATTTAGTTTTAATAAGTTTTAATAAAGGTTACCCAAGTACAAATTACAACTAGAATAAGTTTTAATAAGATGTTAAGGTCTAATAATTAAAAGAGAAAAGTTCAAATTAGGTGAATAAAACACACCCTAAACCGGTTAATATGACAAGAAAATTTTAGTGTTAATTCCCTCCACAGGAGATAGAAAATAACTTTTCTTTAATAGAACATAATAATTTATTCGGTTTTTTTTTTCACAAGTTATTCGTTTTTCAATTAATTAAATAACAATATAAAAAATAAAAAAGAAGTAAAATATAAGAAATACAAATGACAAAGTACTATTCATATCACATTCCTTAATATTTGTATTAGCCATTATTGTTAGTGAATACTTTACTAATTAATTTGTTAATGTAAATAAGTCCATTATTACTATAGCAATTTTTGGTGCAACAAGCCACACCATGTGGTAGGAGTTTCTCGAGGTTTTTTTTTTTTTTTTTTTTTTTTTTTTAAGGGTTTACTTAAGTTTTTCCGTCAAGGTTACTCGATCAGGGGTTACTTGAGTTTTTAAGTCAAGGGTTACTTGAGTTACTCGGTTAGGACTTACTTGAGTTTTTCAGTCAGGAGTTACTCGAGTTACTTGGTCAGAGGTTACTTGAGTTACTCGATTAGGGGTTACTCGAGGGGTTTTCTCGATTAAAGGTTACTCAGTCATGGGTTACACAAGTTTCTCAATCAGGGCTTACTCGAGTTTCTTGGTCATGCCGCATTCAAAAAATTGTGACTCGAGTAACCCCTGACCGAGAAACTCGAGTAACCCCTGGCCAAGAAACTCAAGTAACCCCGAAAACTTAAGTAATCCCTGACCGAGAAACTCAAGTAACCCCTGCCGCATGGTACTACAGGCCGCATATAATTTTTTTTGTTATTACTAGCTAATTCATATATTATTTATCAATATCGATCTATACATACATATTTGTGTTATATATTCACTCAGTTTTAGGTTGTGCGACTGTTATGTATTTTTTTAGCACAATGCTTAGACAAAATATGTACAGGTAGATAAGATATAAGGGTACTTAGCTTGTATACTACATAATGATAAAATTATGTCTATAGAATTGGTGATTATAATGGGTAAAAGATATTATATTGCATAACTATTAAACCGATTAATATGACGATAAAATTTTAGTTTTGAATTCCTCTATAGACTATGGGTAACAGGAAACGACTTTCCTTAGCTTGTGTAGTGCATATTTTATTCATTTTTAATCAATAAAATAAAAATATAAAAAATGAAAAGGAATAAAATAAGAGCAATAAAATAATTTTCATATCACATAACATAAAAAATATATTGACCATTATTGTGGTGATTGGTGAATAGAATTTTAATAATTAATTTGTTAATGTAAATATGCCGACTTTTACTAATTGAATTATTTTTGTTTCGTT